CATCTCTCCCATCTCTCCCACCTCTCCCCACCTCTCCCCACCTCTCCCCATCTCTCCCCATCTCTCCCCATCTCTCCCCATCTCTCCCCAGCTCTCCCCATCTCTCCCCATCTCTCCCCATCTCTCCCCATATCTCCCCATATCTCCCCAGATCTCCCCATATCTCCTTGCGGTGCGAGTGCAGCGCACGACGGCTGCAGCTGGCGCACCGCAGGATGCGCATCTCCCCATATCTCCCCATATCTCCCCGAGTGCTAGGTCGGAAGGCACGCGGCGCCGCAGCTAGGGTGGCGCCGCAGCTAGGGTGGCGCCGCGGCTAGGGTGGCGCCGCAGCTAGGGTGGCGCCGCGGCTAGGGTGGCGCCGCGCGCGGCTAGGGTGGCGCCGCGGCTAGGGTGGCGCCGCAGCTAGGGTGGCGCCGCGGCTAGGGTGGCGCCGCGGCTAGGGTGGCGCCGCAGCTAGGGTGGCGCCGCAGCTAGGGTGGCGCCGCAGCTAGGGTGGCGCCGCGGCTAGGGTGGCGCCGCGGCTAGGGTGGCGCCGCAGCTAGGGTGGCGCCGCCTCTTCGGCGGCATCCGCCTCGTGCGCCCATGCAGCGGCGTCCGCCTGCGACGCCGCCGCCGCCCGATCCGCCGCCTTGCGCGCGGCGATCGCCGCCTGGGCCGCCGCCTCCGCCTCGACCCGCGTCTCGTGCAGCCAGATCAGCCTCTGCTGCAGCACTGCGTCGACGGAAGCCCCAACCTCTCCCGCCGCCGCCGCCGCCGCCGCCGCGGCGCCAGCAACCTCCTCCTCCCCCGCCGCCGCCTCGGCCGCCGCCATCTTGGCCGCCTTGGCCTCCGCTCCCGCCGTCTCCGCCTTGGCCGCGGCCGCCTTCTCCTTCCGCGAAGGCTTCGAGGCTGACGCGGGTGGCTGCTTGGCAGCCGCCGTCGCCGCCGCCGCCTCTGCCGGCGCAGGTGCCGCCTTGGCCTCTGCCTTGACTGCGGCCTCGGCTGCTTCCGCCGCCGCGGCCGCCGCCTCTGCCGCCGCCGTGGCCGCCGCCGCCGCGTCCAGCGCAGCCGCAGCCTCTTCCGCCGCAGCCGCGGCTGCGGCACCCGCCGTCGCCGCCGCCGCCTCCATCGCCGCCGCAGCTGCTGCGGCAGCCGCAGCCGGATCAGCATCCTGCGTCTGCGTCACCTCTGCAGCGCGTGCGGAGGAGAGTAGCGCGAGGATCACAAGGTGAGAGAGCCTCATGGAGGTTGGGAGCGCCTCTTGTCTGCGAGTCGGGCGAATAGAGGCCCCGCCCACCCAGGGTACCCTCTCGAGGGACCCATTGGGTAGGCGCGTGAGAAGTGGGCTTCGCGTTGAGTTGCGGTCTCGGGAGACTTCCACCCGGCGCTCAAGCAGGCGATCCGCGACGTGCGCGCGGCCGACGCCTTCAAGAGGCTGAGGGAGCTCGTCGTCGCCGGCGGCGCGGACGCCGACGTGGCCACCGCCGCGAGGCTGCTCGTCCAAGACGCCCGGGGTGCGCGAAGCCCGCCCTTCAACCCGCCTCCGAAGGCCCCGAACGGCCCGCCCGGCCGCGGTCCGCTTTTGCGAAAGGGGCAGTACCCGTTCCCGGAAAACCGGCGGGAAAACCCCAAAACTGCCCCCCC